TGGTCATTTGACTGTCCATCTCCAGGAAATGTTTTACCCACAAAGGTCACCTGTGTGTCTTGTGCATTTAAGTGTGTTCCAGCTGAGTGCTCCAATTCCAAATGTCACTTGAGTCTGTCTGTTTGTTTCAGGTGCTCACTGTTACTGGCTATGTTCTTCGGGAAAAGTCCCAGTAAATCTAAAGAATGAGAGAGGAATAGAATACAGGAAACACTGAATAGGGAGGAAATACTGGCTTTGCTGCTGATGGCTTAATCAGACTTATGTGGTCTTCCTCTGCCAAAGAATATTTCACAACTCTGAATATTTTTGTTTCAAATCAGAACGAAAGGGCAACCCTTCCACAGAAGGAGTGAGCATTTCTTCCTGCTCAGTTTCCTGGTGGGCCTCCAGAATGGTGAGGAGCAGGGATGGTACGTAAGTTTTCAGGATAGCAGGCATATGTGTAATTGCAAACCACTGACTCTGAATTTCTGAAACAGAAATAGAAATAGGCTGGAAGCATTTAGACAAGCTCTGCATTTTAGTTTTCAAATATAAAATCACAAGTTTCTTATTGTTAAATTTACAGGATGGGAATCTTAATTTAGCAAAGGGAGAAATCCCCACATGACTCTAACCAGAGAACTGAAGGATGAGTAACGTTTCCTTTTTTACTTCTTTTTTTAGCATTAAAACTAGTTCTTTTATCCAAGAGGGCTAGGGATGAGATGGTGGTGGAAAGAGAATCAAAGATTAGAGAGAGGGCAAAAGATTAGACTAAACAAGTTTGAATGCACAGGTTTAAATGCAGGTTCTTAAAATCCTGACACTGTCTGCAGAATTCCAAGTGCACAGAAAAAAACCTCTCTTGACCATCTCTCATGGCTTTAACTTTTATTTTAGGTCTAGGACATGAACACTCATTTTAAACAAAAATTGAAAACCTCAGAAAACTTAAATATTTCACCCAAAGCATGCAATATGCAGCTGCATTTACTGTGATATATTCAGCAAATCATCGTGCTTCTCTCCTTGTTTCCTTGTTCTCTCAGCAGTCCTTAAGTAGAGGTGATTTAGCAGTATTTTCCATATATCATGTGTCAGTGCAACTTGAAAAATGACAGTATATTTTGCAAGGCCTGCTGTTTAAAGACAGCAGCTTCTGTCTCCATATGAAATCATAGATGCATCTGTTTTGTCTGGTGGTTATGATTATGGGGATCTTGCCACAAGAACATTTTTCTCCACTCGGATTTGTTTAAGTTTTTATGATGCAGGTGTTTTACTGACTGTTTGCCACCAAGGGTAAAGAGCATGACAATGCAGAGAAAAAAACTCATCAAAAAGTAAAGCTGTGACACTCCATTCAAGGTTGCATCTCTGAGCATGGCTGAGAAATGAGCTACTTGTGCAGCTATATGTCAATGTGAAGCAACTGAAAGCAATGTAAGAAAACTAGAGTGAGCAGAAAAAATTGTGTTTAAAACACATAGGCACTATGAAGAAAGATGTTAATGAGTTTGGTAGATCTATTGAGACAAATACTCATGTTGGGAACAGTAGGGAAATTATTTGCCAAGAAGCACTGAGAGTGGCTTGTGAGCTGAAGGCTTGTTCTGTAGCAACGTGATGGGTACACTGCCTATACTGTGGTTTTAATGGACATTGTATTGAACTGAAAAGGCTAATTATAGACTCAAGAGTTTTTATCACTGTGAACAACATAACATCAAGAATACAGAACTGGCTGTGTTAATAAAACCTTATGGCAACAACAGACAGCAACTAATTGCTAATCTAGTGGTGGCTTAGAGAAGAGGAGGCTGAGGGGAGACCTTATCACTCTCTACAACTACCTGAAAGGAGGTTGTAGTGAGGTGGGTGTTGGTCTCTTCTCCCATGTAGTTAGCGATAGGATGAGAGGAAATGGCCTCAAGCTGCGCCAGGGGAGGTTTAGGTTGGAAATTAGGAAAAATTTCTTTATGGAAAGGGTGGTCAAGAATTGTAACAGGCTGCCCAGAGAGGTGGTGGAGTCCCCATCGCTGGAAGTGTTCAAAAAACAGGTAGATGTGGCACTTTGGGACATGGTTTAGTCTAGTCTACCCTTGATTGGTTTAGAGTGGACTTGGTAGTGTAGGTTAATGGTTGGACTGGATGATCTTAAAGGTCTTTTCCAACCTAAACGATTCTATGATTCTATCAAAAAATTTTTCACCCTTTGTCTTTTTCAGTGTGCAACAAAACCTAAAGATTTGCCTATGAGCATTGCATGGCTTGAAATGACTCAGTTCATTTGATTAAGGGTATGATTGCATGCTGCCTTTTGAACTTTGTTAGTTTTAAATGCTTCCTGCAGCCGAATGACAGCACAGATGACATCACTCTTAAGACAAATTAACACTGAATTTGCGGTAATTTTGAAGGACCAGACTTCACAGGTAGCTGTGCAAAATGCAATAGTTAGCAGGACTTGCAAAGCTAAGTGGAAAGACTGTTTCTCTAACCCATTGCTTGCTGAGAATATTCCCTTTACTCAGCAGCACAGGACAGACTCCTGTGTCACAACTAGTTTAATGGACCCTGGGCAATCTGAGAAAGATTTCTGAAGAGGACATTTCAAAGGGAGTTAAGAAGAATTGCATGAAGAACACACAGAGTGATTTAGAAGATGGTCTGATGTGTGTAGGTGGCTATGGGAAAAGAAATTGCTCAGTTCTGAATTGCTTTAAAATTCTGAACATTTTAGCTTCATATAAGAAAAGATATGACATCTGTTGAAATAATTATTGTATTGTGACTTAAGCAATCATATTACATATAAGGCTAAATTTTTCTCTCCTGGTTTAAGCCAAAATACAAGAACTAATTTACGCTACATATCAAGGAAATTCAGGGTTAGGTATTACTCAAACACACACAGTAACAGGTTGTACACTGCATATCTCAGAGCAATTACTGAATGCCATGTGCTCTTCTATTCTGTGCAACTTGGCTCATCATGTAGCGATTATAATTACGAGTCATTGAGACATGGAGGTGTTGTATAAAATGAAAAAATCAAGACAGCAATGAGGACCAGGAATTTACCCCTTGTTTTATACATTCCTGAGCTCATGAATATTCAGCAGACAGGCACGGGGACCAGCGCTTCATGCCCCAGACAGGGGGACAAGACAGGCTAATGTATTCTCCTTCCAGACGCAGTACAGAACAGCAGACTTCCATTCAACATTTCCTTCCTTCATCTTCTGCAGCTTTTCACTCCCAGCAATAGTCCATAATACCAGTGCTTTTCACATGTAACACTTTTCCCTCAGCCAGGTCCCTACAATCAAACACTGCTCCCCTCACTGTTCTGCTGACCCCATGCCCATTACATCAGTTCCCTCACATTGGTTTTGCTCAATGCTTCAGCTCTTCACCAGCTCCTCCTCATACCAGCCTTCTCAGTGAGGGCTCTCCTGCTTCCTCTTTAAGTGTGATCTTTAAGACTCTCTTGTATTACCAAGATGGGGCCTCCCACCATGCCCTGCATGTGTTAGAACAACAGCCCTCTATGGGTTACCCCTCCCATCATTCACATCATACCTGCATCCCCTGTAGACCAGTCAGTGCTGGGATCCCAGGTAGTATCTCCGTGGCTGCTGAGGCCTCATGCTTAGACTGAGAAAATGCAACTCTTCCAGACTATAAGATAGCTGTATGGCAAGATACTCGGTGTTGTCCCTGCTCCTCTAAACTACTTCTTCATATCCATAATTAAGATAAGTGCCATATTGCTAAACACTCATTTAGTGAGAGATACAGCACACTTGTTGGCTGCTGCTACTGCAGACTTCTGATGCACAGCCTTATGTCTGAAATAAACATAATTAGAGGCTTGCCTACATACTTCCACCTTCCCCAACTTACAGTTCAATTTTCATTGAATGGCTCAAATTAGTACAAAATACACACAGGAACAAAAGTCCTAAACCTGACTGTTCCTGAGAGATTTCAAAGATCTCTATTGTTTGCTAGTGCCATAGAAGAGATACTCTCCCTGATGCAGCCTTCTCTTTGAACAGCCTCCTAAAGAGCAGTGAAGCAGCAGGAGGCTTTGCATCATTAAAGGCCCTATCCGATGTATTTGATTGTTGTTGAGCCTACTGTGCACAGTGACTTACTAAAAAGACACACTACAGAAAAGGTCAGTAGCAGCAATATTTATTCTAGTTGTGAAATTCTGCAACAGAATGGAAAATGGATTTGAGAAATCAAAGAACTGGATCAGATGTGATATGGATAATTATTAAGACTTAGAGGAATGCACCTTCCCCCCTTACACCCGATGCAGCAGAACAATCCACT